TGTCTCATCCATCATTAAATGCTAATCTTCATTTAACTCATTCAGCAAATACAGATTGAGTACCTATCATGGGCCATTGTTTTAGGTATTAGACAGCGAACAGGGTGCCCTTTCATGGTCTTTTCCACATAAGGGCAGTCCTCTCTCCAAGAGAAATTTCTACGTAACCAGCCATATACAATTACTGAAATCTAAATGGCAAGTGGATTCAAAAACCAACTCCTATACCAGTCAGAATGTGTACATAAGTAGAAGCATAAATGAAGAAAGCACCTCCGCATCTCAATTACAGAATTCCACGTAACCATTTCTCTTAAGGAGACAGCATTTGAATAAGAAGAAGAAAGCATAATTTCACCTGCAAATACTGAAATTTCATATTCCACTTATAGAAGAAAAGAGACTGAAGAAATATTCCTTTTAAGGTTTCTTATTAATCATTTAAACTGTATGGAAAAATAATTAGATGACTTCAAAAATGCACTAATACATGATTTTTCAAGAGATGACTATAGGTATAGTACTTTAAAAATGGATTTTAAATTATTCAATGTCAATATATATTAGTGTACCATTTCCCAAAGCATAACATGTGATTTTATTAGATATTATTCAGGTAAAAGTGTTCTGTGGTTCTACGCATTTCTACAGGACTTTTCAGAGCTTTTAAAAGGGTAACAGGAATTGAGTGTTCTAAAGAGAAAGTGAATCACATAGTGTTTCCCTGCTTGTGTAACCACAGAACTCTTAAGGGACTAATGTATAATGGATCATGGTATGAGAAGTTATGTATTGGAGTTGAGAAATCTATAATCTAAACAGGAACACTACTAGAACAGATATACACACAATGAACAATTTTGCGTTTTAAAACACTGATTATCTCTAAACAGTGGGCAAGCTTCAAAGAATGGTTTTATAAGAAAATCCTTTAAAATAAAGATTTCTTAATTTGACCACAATACAGCATGTCTCTATTTTCACTTTGACTAGCATGATGTAGGAGCAAGTGGGGGAGGTATGAGTCAAAAAAGAGTGGGGGAAGAAAAAATCTTTTTATTTAAAAAAAATATTTCTTAACTACACCAAGAAATTTCCATTGAAATGATCTCTCTACATGGTATGCAATGTTTCCCAGCAGGTTTAATCATAGTATTCTAAATGATTAAATATCATAAATAGTAAGAATTTATAGAAATAAAGATAATGATCAAGCCTTTGGGAAAATCTTGGAAAAACTACTGCAAGGAAATACACAAATGATGTAGCATAGGTTCCTACAGAAGCAAGGATAAAATAAACAGGGGCAAAAGTGAATTAAATTACCCTCTCCCTTGAGCAAAAAGCTACTATATTCCAACACACAGTGCTGTAAAGCAGTCTCAGTTGTTTAACTGAAATGTACACTCACTCACTAACCCACACTGTTATGCCTGCTTTGCTGGCAGTAATTGTCCATATTCACAGGGAGAACCAGGTAAACACTTTAGTATCATCAAATTATAATGATTACACTTTTTCATAAGTGACGACACATATCTGTGAGAGCTGTCATCACCTCTTGAGTGAGACACCATGCATTATGGCTACATGACATGGGGACACTGGTGACAAGAGCATTAGTAAGCATGCACAGGTTGTAGGGCCATGTAGTGGGTGCTCAAAAGTTCATGATAAAGATCAGAGTCCCTATCTTCTGGAAGTATCATTAGCAAAAAGCATTTATTATCACATAGAAGTGGGACTCTGACTGTGATACAAGTCAGGGATCAAACACTAACTTGCTATTAATTCAGTGTGGTAGAATAGAAGAATATGGAATATTCTTTCCTAACATACATAGAAGTGTGCCAAATAAAAAGAAGTCACAGAAAGACCCTAAAATGAACATTAGAGACAAAATTTGTAATAGTCAAATGTCAGCACTACAAAATTACAGAAAGACTGAAATAGCTTATGCTGAAAAAAATTGTCTAGTCCTATTTGAGAAAAAATATTCATAGTCCCTAGTTGCTAAAATTTTGAGTATAATTCATGGCAACACAATGACATTTCCTTATTAAGTATAAAAATGATGCTACAGAACCTTTAGTCAAAAATCATCCTTGATAGTAAAGAAAGGTTTTTAAAGATGCATCTTCTTCCTCTTGACCAAAAGTGCACATTTGTGACATTATCGGCTAGAGTTGAGGATACAATTTGAGTCCACACAGACCAGATCAAAGCTAACTGGACTTTGTGACAAATGACCTCATGACCTAGACCTCATTAGTCATGATCTAACCAACTGAGCTAGTGGGCCATAGAAAATACATGTTAGCACTAGATATTTGCTTTGAATCATTTCTGCACTTAAACGGGCTCTATAGTTTTAAAGAACCTACCTTACAAATGCTGTTTTTCTAAGGTTTTGTGAATGAATGAATTCATTCAACTCATGTTCAGCTATTATGTGGAAGACCCTAAGATCATTGGTAAAGCAGTTTAAAAATGCACAAGACAATATGCAGAATTTAGAACTATAAGTAGTAGTGAAAAATGTAAACGAAGTGCATAATTTTACAGCAATAACTAATGTTTATTGAGTGCTTACTATTCTTTAGATGATACATAAAGCACTTTTGATTAACTGAGGTTACAGGTTGAGTATCCTATATCCAAAATGCTTGGAACAAGCACTGTTTCGAATTTTTTACTTTTTCACATTTTGAAATATTTGCATTATATACTTACCAGTTGAGCATCCTTAAGCTGAAAATCTAAAATCTGAAATGCATGATGAGTAGTTCCCTTAAGCATTATGTTGGTGCTCAAAAAGTTTCAGATTTGGGAGTATTTTGGATTTCTGATTTTCAGCTCAACTGGTACTCCATTTCATACTTAACAGACTAATCTCTCCACCTTAGCTTGGACCAATACAAAATGAGAAATAACTGTGATAGGTACTATACAGTTAACTCTCTCAATACCCATTCCAACTGCCCCTTTCCCTTGTCACATTCTACCACAACAGTCATGAAAGCTACAAACTCCCATTCTCACATTCCCCTGCAGGTGACCATTACTGCTTATCACAGACAAAGATGAAATGACAACTGACAACTGGGTGACCTCTAGCAGTGTCTAGAAAGCCATTTATTTTCCCTGAGAGCATAAAGGTCGAAGTGGCAGGCGTCTTTTTCATTTGGTATAAATGCCAACAATAGTTTAAGTTTACGGTAAAGATTCCAAAATCATGCTCCAGGGGGCCCTGGACCTAAACAACAAGTAAGTAGAGTGAAAAACATTCACAGTGTGTCTAAAATATGTAAAGAGGTATAGATTTAAGAGGGTAACAGAAATTTACTGACTTTATCATGGGCCAATCACCTAAGTAAATGTAAATAAAACAAAATGCCAAGTTTCCACTCAGGGAGAGTCCTTCCTACTATGGGAAACATAAACAAGCATTCATAGTACAATGCTGTAAGTAAAAGTCAGGGGATAATGTTGCCCTTTATAAGGGAAGGATAAGCTAACTGCAGAGAAGGAGAGTCAGGGTCCATGTCACAAAGAAGGGAGTAACATGTCTGTCTATAAAGATCACACTAGACTGGGTTTGGGGAGACTGGGAGGAAAGGAGAGAAGACAGAGAATGCTATTTCAGCAGAGAAAATGACATGTCCAAAAACATAGAAGTATGAAGGGGGAATATTTGGGGAAAAATGCACAAAGTTGGTTATGCCTAGAAGGTAGAAAATAAGGCTAGGGAAGTAGGAATGGGGAGAATGCCAGTGTGGAAAGTTAGATTTTATTTTATAGGGAATGGAGGTAGCGTTAGGCAGTAGTGATGTGGGTAGATTCAGTGACCAAATATAGCAAAAAATGAGAGAAGTAAGAGTCAATGAAAAGCTTCTAGTTTTGTATCATCTATTATGTACCAGGCTCTGTATTCAGTACTTTAAATATATTTCCTTGTATCCTCACAAAAACTCAATAAGAGTGAGATTATTCTCCTTCCACTTCCATGGAAACAATAACAAAAAGCTCAGAATATTTAAGTACATTGGTCACAATTATAAAATGAATATGAAGTTAACCAGAATTCTGTTTTTAGTTATAATAATAGATAACAACAACTGAACTCACAGGTCATGAATACTTCTGATGTTAAAAGTTATTACAGAGGTGAATAAAAAAAAAAAAGTCCTGCCTTCATGGAACTTATAGGTTGAAATCATGGAAATACATGAAATCACTCAAGGAAAGAGTAGATGTAGTAAGAATAAAGACAGCAGAGGTTATCATCCCGGGGTACACCAACATCCATGGGAGGTGGGCAGAAGAGTCAGTGAGAGAACCTGAATTCATTTTAGGTTAACCGAGGAAGCCTATGGGTTGCAAGCAAAAAAGCCAATTTGGAAACAATCCTAGTGACTTACAATAATTCTTAGTTCCTTTATTTATAATAACATTCTGCGTCTTATTCCGAAGCAGCTAAGAAGCCCAAATAAAAATTTATATTATTGTTGAGGCAAAAGAGATAACCTGGTTTCAGGCAGGGGGCAGGTTTAGGTAGGAAAGTAAGATTTATTGAGTAGCAGGCAATTTTATGTGGAATATCTTATTTTAAAAAAGTTTAAAAATCCCAAACTCCATCACATAAAAATTGACCTTGTACATAAAAACAAAAAGCATAGAGTTTAGAAGCTATCATTAAAATACAGATATCACTAACAAGGGGTATATACATTTTTTCTCTGCACAAGAATAACTATTAAAGGGCATAAGACTTTTAATAATTTAAAATATCCTGTGGGGTTAAGTGAAAGGAAAATGAGTGCATATTCTTAATAAATGTAGATAAAAGCTCTAAACATCAGCTTAATTTCAGTAACTCTGTTCTAGTACAAAGTTACTTTGAAAAAAAGGAAAAAATCTGGGAATAGTGGGAGGTGTTCAAAAGTACATTATTTTTCTCTGAGTGGGGGAATTAAAAAGACTTCCACATATAAACTTACATTGCTCCATTGGTATAGACGGTATCGCTTCCTTCCACATACTGCACCTGAGCTGGATAGACATGTTGTACCTGCTGCACAGTCTGTACCTGTTGTACCTGAAAAACAAGTATTAGGACCTTAGTAAGAGGTAGGTATGATAGGAAGAATACACAGCATTAGATCTACCTCAAAGGTTTCTCTGGTATTATTGATAAATGTGAGAATGACTTATAAGAAAAACTATTAGATTCATGCTGTAGTTTCAAGATAAGTACGTGTTGGTTCCAGAGCAACTACAACATTTATGTAGAATAAATTCTGTAACATTCCTGCAGGTATAAATGTATAGACACATTTCAACTGTTCAGGTTTAAAATTATAAAAGTTCTTGGCCAGCCACGGTGGCTCACACCTATAATCCTAGCACTCTGGGAGGCCAAAGTGGGCAGACTGCCTGAGCTCAGGAGTTCAAGACCAGCCTGGGCAACACACTGAAATCCTGTCTCTATTAAAATACAAAAAATTAGCCAGGCATGGCGGCGTGTGCCTGTAGTCCCAGTTACTCGGGAGGCTGAGGCAGGAGAACTGCTTGAACCCGGAAGGTAGAGGTTGCAGTGAGCCAAGATTGTGCCACTGCACTACAGTCTGGGTGACACAGTGAGATTCTGTATCAAAAAAAAAAAAAAAAAGAAAAAGTGAAAAAAGAAGAAAGTTATTATTTTGAGGACATGAAATTCTATTCCATTTTAATTTAAAAAATTAAAGCTGAATTTTTTAAAATTAAGAACAATTCATAATAGAAAATTTCAAACACTCAAATTTGTAAAAAATATTGTAATAACCCTATGTACTTGTCATCCAAGATAATGATCTTTTCTGTTTATTCCCTTCACAGGATTATTTAAAAGTATTAACAGAAGGCTGGGTGCAGTGGTTCACCCCTGTAATTCCAGTACTTTGGGAAGTGGAGGCAGCTGGATCACCTGAGGTCAGGAGTTCAAGACCAGCCTCCTGACCAACGTGATGAAACCCCATCTCTACTAAAAATACAAAATTAGCCAGGCATGGTGGCGCATGCCTGTAATCCTAGCTACTTGGGAGGCTGAGACAGGAGAATCACTTGAACCCAGGAGGCAGAGGTTGCAGTGAGCTGAGATTGTGCCATTGCACTCCAGCCTGGGCAACAGGAACGAAACTCTGTCTCAAAAAAAAAGGAATTCCAGAGATTATATCATTTCACTGGTAAATATTTTCATTTGTATTTCTAAGAGATAGGAATTGTTTTTAGCATGAACACAATAATATCACATATAAAACATTAGCTATTCCTTAACATCATCTAAAACTCAGTCATTGTTAAAATTTCCCTGATGAGTCCAATCACTATATTACTGGTTTTTTCAAAGTAAGATCCAAACATGGTCTACTTAATGCATTTGGGTTGATATTTTCTTTCTCTTTGAATCTCCAACAGTTCCCCCATCATTTTTATTTCCTGCCTATTACTTATTCAAGAAACTGGGTCATTTATCTTGGAGAATTTCTGGCACCTAGATTTGATAAACAGCATCCTGAAATGTCATTTAATATGTTCCTCTATCTCATGTATGCTGTATAAACTGGTACATGTTGGGGCTTGAACAAGTTCAATTTTTTAAAAGTTGTGTACTTCCTATGGTACCATATCAGTTGACATATAACAACTGGCTGTCCCTCTTCAATGTTAAGTTTGACCAGTGGAGTCACATGTTGTCAGCTGGATCTGTCTATTAATAGTATTCTGCTCCCTATCCATGTTTTGCCTGAGGATATTAGTAGCCATTGATGATCATTTCCTACAGATATTATTTTAATAAATAAAGGTTGTTAACTTGCGGTAGTCTATTATTCTTTCTTCATTTATTAGCAAAATCCTTCTATAAAGAATAAATTCCTCTCATTAATTATTTAGTTACTTTGAAAAGTTTTTATGGGAAGAATAGGATAAGTACATGATTCTTTTATATTACAGCACTGAAAATGACTTTATCCCCCAGTAACCTCCAGAGGTGATCGATGTGTTTTTCCACTTTGTTTTGTTTGTATCCTTATGATTCTCAGCTTTTGAACATATTGAATGACTTTCAATCCTAGCAGTCTTTTTTCCTTGCTAAAATTGGCCAATGGTAGTCTCTTCAAACTGGTTCCTATGACATAACCCCATCTTTCTTAACTCTGCTACTTTCTGCTATAACAAATGTTCTAGACTTTTGTCATATTTTCTACTCAAGATCTGGAATCAGACATTTCTTCAAAAAGCCCTGGCTCTTCTCAGTGGAAAATGGTATTCAAAGACTACAGCTGGAACCCATGAATGCTCACTGCTAGGATGCTATTCATATTTCTAGGTCCTTTCATTGATCAAAGCTAGAAATACAAGTATTTTTGAAGGATAAAAATACATATAAATTCATACTAATTTTTTCATTGAATTTTAAATAGATACAAATTAAATATATCTTTGATATATTTGCCCATCTTTGCTCTTAATGCTACAAATTTTGGTTACTAGAGATTTTAACACGATTACTTACTTGCTTTATCACGAAATTTTATGGTTTCAAAATAAAAATACCATATTACTAATATTTGAGTATCAAATATTATTTGTTTCCTCCAATTTTTCTGCCCTTAAGATATATGCCCCTAGAGATGTATAACTGTATTACTATAAAGTCACTTAAAATAAGTCATCAGCTTGATACACAGTTAAATTCATGTGTTTAATTTTCTTTTTAATTTTAGGATTTGCTGTATTTAATTTTGATTTAATTTTGCTTTATTATTACATAAAATATCTATGTGGTTCCAAAGCCAAAACTATAAAACAAGGAATATATTTGGACAGATGATCCTCCTTTCATCCCTGTTGCCTCTGTCATACTAACTGCCCCCCACACCCCCCATAAGCAACCATTTTCACTATTTTTTGGTTTATCCTTTCATTGCCTTTTTCTCTGTATCTTTTTAGACATACATGCAAATGTATATGAATGTGTATAGAAGCACTCACATGTGAATACATACACACCTCATTCTAAGAAAAAACCCCAGCATTTTACACACACTGTTCTGAACCTTGCTTCTTAAACTTAACAATATAGCATACATTTGAAGATCATTCAAGTATGATACATTATGACATAAAATAAAAAAGGAACATATTTCTTTTTACTTGGAATTATGAAAAATTTTCCTCACTATAAAATTCAGAAGTGATAAAAAATACTTTTAAATAAAACTGTAAACCTGTTTGCAAGGTTAAAAATATAATAAGCAAAACCAAAGACAAATGAGCATCCAAAATTTTGAGAAAGAAAGACTGATAATCCTATTTTTAAAATGTATAGAAAATCTAGATAACCTTGGGTTGGATGATGCCTTTTTAGATATAACACCAAAGGTATAATTCATCGAACAAATAATTCACAAGCTGGATTTCATTAAAATGGAAAATTTCTACTTTGAAAGACACTGTGAAGAAAATGAAAAGACAAGTCACAAACTGGGATAGAATATTTGCAAGACTGATCTGATTAAGGATTGTTACCCAAAATTTACAAAGAGCTCTTAAAACTCAACAATAGGGGGCGGAGCAAGATGGCTGAATAGGAACAGCCCCAGTCTCCAACTCCCAGCGCGAGCAACACAGAAGACCTGTGATTTCTGCATTTTCAACTGAGCCTCTGCTGCTGACACCCAGGCAAACAGGGTCTGGAGTGGACCTCAAGCAATCTCCAACAGACCTACAGCTGAGGGTCCTGACTG